GGGGGGGTTGCTTTAGTTCGGTGTGTGGGGGGTGGGATTTGCGTTTGGGCGCTCGATACTGAAGGGGGTCATTTCACCTCACCGGACGCTTGGGATCGATTGGTGTGTTTGGGTTCGTTCTTTTCCAACACGCGGGAGGATTTAAAAAGGAAGAGGGATCTAAGCAAGCGCGAACCCCCCTTTCTTTCTTTCTCTTTCTCTTTCTCTTTCCCCCTCCCCCCTAAAAGAAAAATGAATTGGGTATTTCTTTTGAAACCAGACGGGTTTTCTTTTGCGCAATTAAACGTACAGTTTTTTATTTCCGTGTATAGAGTGGTGAGAGTGCACAACTGCGATGGTTTTGTCGTCTTTTTCCGTCAATCGCTCTGCGTTTACTTGTTACTTCCATTTTCCTCCCCCTTACCTCTCTTCTTCATCGACGTTATTTCGACGACTTATTGGTTATCGTTCAATTGGCGTCCCAACCTAAGCTCACATAATCACCTTAACCTTTTATTGACTGTATAGTTTTTTTGTTTTTTTATTCTTTTCCACATATTGTTGCATTTTCGTTTGGTGGCCATAATACCCCGTGGGTGTGACGTGTGGGCCGTGTTTGTTAATTTCCATCTCAACCCAAACTCCCAAAAAAAAACGTTTTGGCAACAAACCGGCAGATAAAAGACGAACCGCTCTCTAAAATCTACAGCACGCTTCCATCGATTTCTATACACAAATCGATACACACGCACACACACACACACACAACACGTCCATCCATTCACCCAAAGAACCCGACTTCTTGGGGAATGTTATCTTCGCTTAGAAACGGTCGCCCGTACGCGGTTTTCTTCCGTGGGCTGGGGCTTCTATCCAGCCTGTCGGGGAGGACGATCCGGGATCGCGGGTTAATAGCGCCCGCGACGTGGGAACCCCGACGGGCGCAATCGCAAAGTTCCAAAGGCTCGCCAACCAATTTCTGGCAAGAAGGCGAAGTCGATCCGCGTTATTCGTCGGAGCAGAACATGCGCCGATTGAACCCCGAAACGATGGCGCATTACGTCCGCGCCTCCATCCAAAACGACCGTCGTGAGATGGGGTTAGAGGAGATCGTGGATTGGACTGAGTTTGCGAAGGATGCGGTGTACATCCCGACCCGTTCGGGGCCTTTGTGGGTCGGGAGTGACGACCCCCGCGCGGCGCGCTTTATGCGGCGGAAGGATAAAATGAAAAAAACCCCGCTGCAACGCACCCGCGCGAAACCCGGCCCGGATCCCGCCAAGGCGTTAGAAAATCACCCCCTCCGCGAGTATTTCACCACGGCGAGTAACCTGTCCGACCCCCTCAGCGTCGCGACGAATCTGCACCGGGCCGGGTTGATTCGCGAGTACGACATCAAATTCACCGCCGCGAAGATCCGCTACGAGGCGCGCCCGCCGATCGTCTCGATTATGGGGCATGTCGATCACGGCAAGACGACGTTGTTGGATTACCTCCGCCAGACGAACGTCGCCGCGCGGGAGGCCGGGGGGATCACGCAGAACGTCGGCGCCTTTCAAGTCCGCCCCCCGAATGGCGGGGGGCGGATCACCTTTATCGATACCCCGGGGCATGCCGCGTTCACCGCGATGCGCGAGGTCGGCGCCGGCGCGACGGACCTCCTCGTGCTCGTCATCTCCGCGGTGGATGGGGTGCAGGCGCAGACGACGGAGGTGATCGAGCTCGCCCGCGGGGTGGGGGTCCCGATGGTGGTCGCGATCACCAAAATCGACCGCGAGCCCGCGATCGAGCCGGTGAAAACCCAACTCCGCCGCCTCGA